CCCTCTCAGTTCCTGGCAAATAGATGGGGAAGAAATGGAGGTTGTGACAGATTTTATTTTTCTGGGGTCCAAGATCACCTCAGATGGGGACTGCAGGCAAGAAATTAAAAGACGCTTGCTCCTGGTGAGGAAAGCTATGGCAAATCTAGACAGCATACTAAAAAGCAGAGACATCACCCTGCCAACAAAATTGCGTATAGTCCAGGCCATAGTTTTCCCAGTTGCAATGTATGGCTGTGAAAGTTGGACCATAAGAAAGGCTGAGCGACAAAGAATTGAGGCCTTTGAACTATGATGCTGGAGAAGACTCCTGCGAGTCCCTTGGACTGCAAGGCATTCAAACCGGTCAATCCTAGAAGAGATCAACCCTGACTGCTCTTCAGAAGGCCAGATCCTGAAGTTGAAACTCAAATACTTTGGCCACCTAATGAGAAGGAAGGACTCACTAGAGAAGGGCCTAATGCTTGGAAAGATTGAGGGTAATAGAAGAAGGGGATGACAGAGAATGAGATGGCTGGATGGAGTCACTGAAGCAGTAGGTGTGAACTTAAATGGACTCCAGAAGATGGTAGAGGACAGGAAGACCTGGAAGAACGTTGTCCATGGGGTCGCGATGGGTCGGACACGACTTCGCAATTAACAACAACAACAACAACAACAACAACATATGTATAGACCTACACTCTTACATATAAGTAACACATATATATTATTCACTGTCCATCTTGAATAGATATGGAACAAAACTGTGACCGAATCTGGATGTTTGTATGGAACAAAACTGTGACCGAATCTGGATGTTCTGCTTTGGATACCAAAGATATAGATGTATCTACGTTGGGTGTTACTTTCTGGGATGCTTCCTTTAGAATTTCAGCCATTCTTCTCATCCATTGAGAATTTCTCTCCTCCCCCCAGAAGAAATAATTTTATTTCTTAGATTCTTTTTAATCTTGTCTTTATTATTTTTAGAAGTAATTCAAACTGGCAAAATACAGGTAGTCCTTAACTTAAAGTTCATTTAGTGACTGAAATTGAAAAAGACAGCATTGAAAAAAGTGATTTAGGACCACTTTCCACACTTACGACCATTGTAGTATCCCCATGGTCATGTGATAAAAAAATCAGACTCTTGGCAACTGAATCATATTTATGATGGTTGCAATATCTCAAGAGTCACGTGATCACCTTTTGTGACCTTCTGACGAGGAAAGTCAATGGGAAAACCAGATTCACTTAATAATCATGTTACTACTTTAACAACTGCAGTGACTCACTTGACAACTGCAGCAAGAAAGGTCATAAAATTGCCCAAAACTCATTGAACAAATATCTCACTTACCAACATAATTTTCTGGTTCAATTGTAGTCATAAGTCAAGGACTACCTGTACCTGATATTTCTTCCTTTATTTTCCCCAAAACAACAGCCATGTGAACTGAGTTCAGTTGAGAAAGAGCAACTGGCTCAAAGTCACCTACCCACTTTTAAGAAAAAAAAAACTTTCTTAAATTAAGAAAGTTTCTCTTCTGACATTGAAGTGAAACCATCAGTCAGGATAAGATGACGCTTCTTTAACTCTTTGTCATATTGAGATTCTTTCACAAAAGGGAACTTCCTACCAAGACATATCATTTATGATCTATACTTGCCTATTATAATACAGGTAGTCCTTACAATCTTTATAATAATAATGATAATAATAATAATAATAATAATAATAATAATAATAATGCATATAACATATAACAAATGCATATTTGTTATAATAACAAATGCATAACAAATGCATATAACAAATGCATATAAAGTCAAAATTGAGAAGACAGCAACAGACAGTAAGTGCCGCCTATGCAAAGAAGCTGAAGAAACAGTGGACCATCTGGTAAGCTGTTGCAAGAAGATTGCACAGACTGATTACAAGCAGCGACATGACAAAGTAGCAACAATGGTGCATTGGAAGATCTGCAAAAAATATCATTTGCCTGTAAGCAAAAACTGGTGGGATCATAAAATAGAGAACGTCATAGAAAATGATAAAATTAAACTGCTCTGGGACTTCAGAATTCAAACAGGCAAGCACCTGCAACATAACACCCCAGACTTAACAATTGTTGATAAGAAAGACAAAAAAGTCTGGATAGTGGACGTGGCAGTGCCTGGAGACAGCAGAATAGAAGAGAAAGAATTGGAGAAGATAACAAAATACAAAGACCTACAAACAGAAATAGAAAGACTGGCAAAAGCAAGCAAGGGTAGTACCAATAGTAATAGGCTCCTTGGGTGCAATCCCAAAACAACTGGAGCACCACCTGAACACCATTGGCATTGACAAATTCGCTATTAGTCAATTGCAAAAGGCGGCCTTACTAGGAACTGCTTCCATCCTGCGACGATATCTGTAATACCATCAAACATCCACATCTGCCTATCCCAGGTCCTGGGCAAGGACTTGATAGGTAGATAGAATGCCAAATCCAGTCTGAACATCTGGCTGACTGTGCGATGATCCATAATAATCATAATAATAAAATTGGAAGGGACCTGGAGGTCATCGAGTCCAAATCCCTGCTCAGGCAGGAAACCCTATACCATTTCAGACAAATGGCTGTCCAGTCTCTTCTTAAAAACTTCCAATGTTAGAGCATTCACCACTTCTGGAGGAAGGTTGTTCCATTGGTTAATTGTTCTAACTGTCAGGAAGTTTCTCCTTAGTTCCAGGTTGCTTCTCTCCTTGATTAGTTTCCATCCATTGCTTCTTGTCCTGCCTTCAGGTGCTTTGGAGAATAGCTTAACTCCCTCTTCTTTGTGGAAGCCCCTGAGATATTGGAACACTGCTATCATGTCCCCCCTCATCCTTCTCTTCATTAAACTAGACATACCCAATTCATGTGACCATTCAAAGTTACAACGGCACTGAAAAAAGTGACTTATGACCATTTTTCACACTTATGATGGTTGCAGCAACCATCATAAGTGTGAAAAATGGTTATAAGTATGGTATGGTCATGTGATTTACATTTGGATGCTTGACAACTGACTCACACTTATTTACCATAAGTATGGTATGGTCACGTGATTTACATTTGGATGGTTGACAACTGACTTACACTTATGATGGTTGCAGGGTCTTGGGGTCACATGATCCCCTTTTGCGACCTTCTGACAAGCAAAGTCAATGGGGAAAGCAGACTCATTTAAAAACCATGTTACTAATTTAACAACTGCAGCGATCCACTTAACAAGTATTCGGAGACTACAGTTGGTCCACCTATCCTTCGTGAGCTGCACTGGTTGCCTATTGGTCTCCGGGTCCAATTCAAGGTGTTGGTTATTACCTTTAAAGCCCTATATGGCTCAGGGCCAGGCTATTTGCAAGACCGCCTACTACCTCATAGTTCCCTTCGTCCAGTTAGATCCCACAGGCTGGGCCTCCTTCAGGTCCCGTTGGCCAAGCAGTGCCATTTGGCAGGGCCGCGGAGGAGGGCTTTTTCTGTGATGGCGCCCACGTTTTGGAACCGGCTCCCCCCGGAGATTAGGACCGCTCCCACCCTGTTGGTTTTCCGTAAGCTCCTTAAGAGCTGGCTTTTCCGGCAGGCCTGGGGTTTATGAAATCTGACCCCTGGATGACTGTTCTTGTACTGTTTGTTTTGTTATGTTTTATGTGTTTTTTATTGTTAGCTGCCCAGAGTCCTCTGGGAGTGGGGCGGCTTATAAATTTTAAAAATAAAATAAAATAATAAAATAAATTGAGGCAAGAAAAGTCGTAAAATAGGGCAAAACTTGCTTAACTAATTTCTCACTTAGATTTGGGGCTCAGTTGTGGTCATATAAGTTAAGGACAGCCTGTATGCAGTGACCAGGTCCAATAGATTTCTGCATATGCTTGTGTGTTTCCTATTTCTCTTTTATTCTGAGTGCTATGCAAACCTAGATGCAAATCACTATGCGCGTTCTTAATTTCTTCTACATGTCCAGAAAGCAAGGGATCATTGCAAGTGAATCTCGTCCAGTGTCATGGTTCCAATAGTTGAAACCCATCAAAAGAACTTCAAGGAAAAATTATTGGCCCTGATCTGCTTCCCTGTTGAGGGTACGGAATCAGGCAACTTGCTGATCGGTGCTCCTCTTGTCCACATCTGAAGCATTTGATTGGTAGACTGGCAGGTGTCTTGGGGGATTCCGTGGCCGTGATGGCTGGGGATTTTCAGGGAGGAGGCTGCCTTGCTTGCTCTGGTTTCAGCCTGGCTTCTGGAGGTGGTGGCTTCTTGTAGCGAGCAAGCTTGACGTTCAATCTTATTGCTGCCTGATACCACTCCTGCAATTGGTTAGGGACAGCCCAATAGACACAGGCCTGGGAAAGGTGATCATCTAGGCCAGTGGTTCTTAACCTTTTTGAACAAATTGCCGCCTTGAGCCAATGAGGAAGTTGTCATCGCCCCCCTCCCCCAACATAACCTCTCAATCACAACATAGGAAATAATTCTTCAATTTATGCAAACACTTTTTTTGTTTTCTTTAAAATTGTTATCAGGACATATCGATGCAAATAATTTATTTCCAGTCTTTTTCCCATATCTCCCATATTCTGGCCAATGGCACACCACTGTATGGGTAGAGGCTGCCACACAATGCGCATGAAGATAAGTGATGCGTATTCACATATGTACGGCATTCTGTACTGAAGCTAGCTGGAGGAACATTTGAAAACACAATTCAATCCACTAATAGCGAGCGATCTGATGTTTTTGTACGGCAGATATACAGCTATTCACTGTATGAAAAAATCTCAAAAGTGTCCCCAAAACTTCTCGCTCCATCGCCCCCATATTGCCCCCTTTGTGTTTCTTTGCCCCCATGTCACCCCTTTTCGTTTCATCACCCCCTTGAAAAACGAAATTGCCCCCTGGGGGGCAATATCGCCCAGGTTAAGAACCACTGATCTAGGCCCTCCTTGAAGTGATGCACTAGGAAATGCTACGGCCACCTTCCTATCCAACCTGCTACCTTGCAAAACTCTCGTATGTATTCCAACGCAGGTCTACCATCTTGGTTTATCTTATGAATTTGTTTCTCCACTTTGAGGGCTATGGATGGGTCCTTGAACCTGGCTCTTAATCCAAGGAGGAAGAGATGGAGATCCCCCAGTTCAGGTGCTTGCTTGTTTAGCCACTCAAATGTTTCCCCTTCCAGATTGGCCACAACCACATTGACCGTAGCAGCTGGATTTGGGTAGAAATTGGCATTGCGATTCATGTGGAATGTACTTGAGTAAGGAAGATCAGCTTCTGCAGATTGCCATCAAAAGTCGCTCTAAGAGGTGGTGCCGGTGGTGATGCACAGGGCTGTGTGACCAATAATAGTGACAGTCAGGGCTCTGATGGTACTGGTGATGATCTGGACTTTGGGTGACCCAGTATTGGCTCAGGCTTTGGTAGTGGGGCTGTCTATTGGGTCCGTCATTGTAATCCCACCTCCTGGAACCATCACGGTGGTGGTGCCTTTCGAGAGATCATGACAACCAACACTGACCAGGGCTTTTCTGGTGGCTGGGGCTCTTGCATCATGATCGGCACTCTGGGGCCTTGGAGGAACAGCAATGACTTGGACTGCCATGTTTAGAGTAGCAACTGGGACTCTCCTTTCTCTTGGGGCTGGAGGTCAATGCTGGTGGCTTTGAGGCTGGGGAAACCACCTGCACTCTATCGGTGGGGCTGGACAGGAAAACTGGACAGGAAAACCTTTATCTTTATATGATCCAACATCATACATCATTCTGCTAAAAAATATTTTATCTGGCATAGAGTATAGCAAAACTATACTGTGGTGTGGTCAATGTAGAATGTCCCTCAAGATAAGAAGCATATTAAAATGAAACTTTATCAGAAAGAAAAATAAAACAATGTCTATGATAGGTACTATCAGTCAGGACCAAAGGCTTGTTGAAATAAATAAACAAAACTGTCTCAAAGGTATAGGTAAAGTTTCCCCTGTCTGGTTGAGCCAGACTCTCGTAGTTAGTGGTGATCTCTATTTCCTAGCTGAGGGATCCAGTGTTGTCCAAAGATGTTTCCATGGGCATGTGGCCAGTATAAGTATATGCTGAGGCACATGGAATGCTGCTACCTTCCCATTGAAGTGGTACCCATTTATCTACTTGCATTTGAAAGGTTTAGAACTGCTATGTAGACAGAAGCTAGGGCAAGTAATGGGAGCTCACCCCATAACATGGTGCTCAGATCTTGAACCTGGACTGCCAGCTGGCAAGGTTAGCATCTTTAACTGCTGCACCATTGCACCCCCAAAACTGTTGTAAGTTGATTGAAATTCATCAGCAAAATGGGAACTGCATGTATTTCTGGAAGAAAAGTGTCCCACAGGGTGGGAACATCCAGAAAAGGCCCGCCATTCTACCACTCCCAACATACCTTGTAATGAAGGAGGATGTAGAATAAGTCTTCTCTAGATGACTAGAACAGATGAACAGATTCAATTTTTCATGAAATTGCTTAATAGATTCTGGTGTGTTGCCATATATATGGCTTCAAAAGTAATAATTACTACTCTGAATTGGGCCTTGAAACCTACTAACCACTAATGCAGAAACTTGAATATAAGTGCAATTTTACCTTGTTGCTTATCACACCAGAAACCTGGTTGCCACATAACAAAGATGTTCTCTACATCTTCACCTTTTTTGTTTAGATGAAGATCTAGTTATGTACATTCAGAACCCAACAGCAAAGTCCAGATGCCCTTATAAAAAGAAGACTATGCAAATTAGTTGAACCAATTCACCTTCTTAAAGAATGATGTTTCCAATCCAACCTTGCAGTCTCCAAAACCAATAAGCCTTCAGATCTGGAAAATTAAACAGATGAAACCTCACAGTCTTCCTCCCAACCCAGTCGGGGAGATGACATTTTGGATAAAACTTCTCCTGCTCTCTGCTGCTTTCTCGGGTAGATCCTTTTTTCCCCCAGAATATTCAGTATAAATTGTACATTTTCTGCCCGTTTCTCCTGATGCTCATTAGGCTTCTCGTTTTTAGGCTGCCACTCTGAAATTCAGATGATACAATCTGGAGGAGGGATTAAAGCACCTGGAGGTTCACTCACCATCGTCTGTAAGACTTCTGGATTTGGCTTTACAAACTATTACATGAGTTGGGTTCGTAAACAGCCAGAGAAAGGACTGGAATGGCTATGCCGAATGCCTAGTTTGGGCACCAACCCTTGGTACAATCCTGCAATTGTAGGAAGATTCATCCAAACTAGAGATAATGCCAAAGCTTCAACCACTCTGCAGCTGAACGACTTAAAGCTTGAAGACTCTGCTGTCTATTATTGTACCAGAGACACAGTGAGACAATCTGCATTCCCACTTGTACAATAACCTCAGAGGACTCTTCAGAGCAGAAACCAGAGGCCAAAAGTCCATTCCTGCTGCCTCTGCAGCTGGATAGAGGAGACAGACAAGTAGTCAAGGTCTTAAATAGCCAAGCACTGAGAGAGTCCAAGAATGAAGATGAAGGGAGAAACCCAGCAACTTAAAAGTCAATGGATGCTTATATTCCCTATAAATTATTTGTCTATGACATTATTTCCCTCAACTATCTTTTTGATTGAAGACATGTTGTCATTTGTTAATAAAGGAGTGGTTTTCTACTGAAGACCTCAAGCAAAATTATATAGTATTGGATTTTCAACAAACAAAGTGTTGTCCTTTTTCACTTGAGAAAATTTGAGCTACACAACAGTGTTGCATACTAATAAGATATAAAACATAAATTACAATAATACTTTAGCTGTATAACCTGTGATGATGTTTCATTTTGGAATGATGGTATATTTGTCATAAACATTGTTCTGTGGGGTCCTTAGTACTCTCTGAATTTGCCTATTTTCCTAAAGACATTTAATTGCCCAACTGGGAAATGCATATCAGTGCTGGAAGATGGTGGTGGTGGTGGTGGTGGTGGTGGGAGGAGGAGGAGGAGGAGGAGGAGGAAGACTGTGGAGTCCTTGGTGCTCTCTGAGCTTGGTTGTTTTCTTACAAATGTTTCATTACCAACTAAGTAAAATCATCAGTGCTAGGAGGGGATTGGTATTATATTGTTCTTTGGCTAAGCAGTGTACTGGGTGGCTTATAATATAATATTATATTCATATTAGGATTAGAAATAAGAAAATACATAAAACATACATTTTCTTATGATTGTTTTTATTTAAGAAAGTTGGGTATGTAAGCCAAGTCAACAATTGGAGTAACATATATACTTAGTAAAATGGATTTTTTCTAGTAATAAGCTTTAAAATAATAGCATATGAAAGATCACAATTGTTAACCTCAGTAAAGAGATAAGGGAAAAGAAAATGGAAGGAAAACTAAGGACATACAGTAAATGGTAAAACTGAGTAAAAACAGGAGTGAAAATAAACATTCCATCTTGACATGAACATCCTAGATTTTCTCTGTCAATTTTACTGTTTCAGTTCTCCACAGATTGGTCTGTGATTGATGTTCTGACATACTGGTCAAAACTCACCTACCTATATCTTTCATGTGTTAAAATGATGGAGCCAGGAACAAAGTGAATGAGATCATCAACCATTCCAGGTCTTTGTCCACAAAGAGTCACTTAGAAGGGGTGGACAACTTTGTCTCCTCATGGAAGGCATGAACTTGGAGAGTGAGGAGCTGCATACAATGATACACAAATGGGGCTAAGTCAGTATTCTGAAATGGGATCTTAAATCACCTATCATTGATTGAAGAGAAAGACATTGAACATAGAATAATAGATTTGGAAGGGACCTTGGAGGTCTTCTAGTCCAAACACCTGCTCAAGCAGGAGACTCTATACCATTTCAGACAAATGGTTGTTCAGTTTTTTTTTTTGAATGCCTTCAGTGATGGAGCACCCACAACTTCTGGGTTCTCCATCACTGGAGGCTTCCACAAGATAGAGACAGAGATGAAAAGATCCATGATCAAGCTCTTATTTTACTTCTCATCAGCCCCTGGAGGAGGAGCTCATGCAAATTCCCACAGAAGTCACTAGAAACATTCCACCTGAAAAAGAATTTCATGCAGAAGGACAGCTTGAATTCATCTTGAGTTGAAAGGCTTCACTGAAACATCTTGACATCATGCCACTATGGCTATTTGTATTATCTTTCACAGTACTTCCAAGATGTAAGCATACAGTTATTGTAGGAAACGAAGAAACATTTGTTTGGTTAATGATGTGGTCTGTTGACTGAAAATTGTTCTTTTTCATTTTATCTGTTTTGTTACATAATTATAAAATATATCTTTATATTACATTAATTATATTGTATTATTTTATACTTTTATTATGTTATATTATGTTTATTTTATGTTATGTTATGTTACATTACATTATATTGCATTGTTATGTTATGTTATGTTGTGTTGTGTTGGGCTGGACTGGGCTTGCTAGGTTAGGCTAGGCTAGGCTAGGCGAGGTGAGGCTAGGCTAGGCTAGGCTAGGATAGCATAGGATAGGATAGGATAGGATAAGTTAGGTTAGGCTATGCCATGCCATGACATGCCATGCCGTGCCATACCATGCCATGTCATGTTATATTCTGGAATCAGGAAGGGCATCTGGCCAATAAATGATCAGCTCCGTCCAGCCTTCCTGACTTTACCCTGAATTAAGGGATTACAGAGTCATAAAAGGGAGTTTTATATTATATTATTATGATGGTATTTATGCAGTATTGAGTATTAACACTCTAATGTTTACATAACTTAGACTCTTAAAGAGGGGGGGGGAGATAACCATTTTTTGTAAGTGTGAATTATGTTTTGAAATGTCAGTGTTAATCAGCCTAGGAATGTTTAGCTTTTACACCCAAAGCTGAATACATCACTAACAAACAACTGCAAATTACAATAAAAAATTTGTTGTGAAACTTTCTACCTTAAGCCAAAATTTCAATGCCAAAGTTTCCACTGTATAGTGACTTATTGTTTGGGCAAAAAATGTTCAAAGCAAAATTGGTGACAGCAACTAAAAAAAGGAAGAAAGCAAAAAGGAACAAAATAGACTGGTTTCTAACTTTCTAACTTCTCCTGATTTTTGTGTTTCTCCTAATTTGTAATGTTTATAAGCAACTGCTGTCTTTTTTTTTCCCCAAGGGGTCTTATCAAATATTCAGTTCACTGAATCTGGACCAGCGGTGGTGAGACCTGGAGATGTTCTCAACTTAGTTTGCAAAGTGACAGGTGTCTTAATCTCTGTGCCTATTGAATGGCATTGGGTGAGAAAGCCACTTGGGAAGGGTCTCGAATGGGTCTCAGCCATAAATGTCAACAGTGGAGGCAAATGGTATGCTGCCTCTGTAAAAAACCGGGCCACAATTTCTGCAGATGAGACCAGAAATGAATTCTACCTCCAGATCAATTCTGTGACAGCTGCTGACTCATCTCTGTATTTCTGTACCCGGCTCTGCACATTGAGACAAAAGCTATTGGAGCTGTGTAAAAAATGATGAAATAGATTCAGCAATACAAATTTTATCCCACAAGGAAGGAGTGGGCCATGAAGATGGAACAACTTGCTGAAATTGCTATATTGACTTCTT